AGATCTTAGTTCCGTAAATTGTATATTGTCAGTCCTTAAGGTAATATTATAAATGAGTTTGTATCATTTGTATAATTTTGGTGCATAGTGCTTGACTGAAATGATCAGTAAAACAATTTAAATGGATACCTTAATATTGAAATGTACAGTATCAGTGCCAGTTTTTTGTACTACTAGTTACAGGCAGCCTTGGCTGTACCCACATGCTATTAGTGTAATTCCTGAATTCTGGTGTTACTGGGTGACCTACTTTTTCAGGCTACTGTGGTCATTGGGCAAAGCTGCCTTCCCCAGGCCTTTGGAGAACCTCTGCTTTCTGGCCTTTCTGGGAGCATGGGCCTTCCTGCCCTGGGCTCCAGGCTACCCTTGACTGTAGTTGCCCTGGCAGTTCCTGATATCCCCAGCTCGCTTTTGTGGAAAGCCTATCTCCCCTTTTTCCATAGCCAGAAAGATGAGCTTTTCAACTTCAGCTAGAGAAATTCTGCTCTCACCTGTACTATTTGTTGGGGTTTGAGAGCTACGCCTCTTAGAACTACCCCCTGTGTCATTGCCACCTGATGTTCTCCTTAGCATGCACATCAAGCCCCCTTTCTCCCAGACCTACTGAAGTCAGCATCTCTAGGGGAAGGGCCCCAGAATCTGAATTACAACGAGTACCCTAGTCTAGATTAAGGGTTCTCAACCAGGGGTGATTTTGCCATCCAGGGAATATTAGCAATGTCTGGAGACATTTTTGATTTTCACGATCAGGGAGGGAGTTCTGTTGGCATCTAGTGGGTAGAGCCAGGGATGCTGCAAAGTATCGTGCAGGGCACAGGACAGCCTCCCACAACCTGGTATTGTCAGTCCAACATGTCAGCGGTGTTGAGGTTGAGGAAGTCTATAGCAGAAAGGCAGTAAGACATTTGGGGAGATGAGGGATTATTAAGTCTTTGAAGGTCTCGACGGGGTGAAGTTTCGGTGATAATACTAAGGGAGTTGATTCCTATGTTTCTTGGAGAAGCAAGAAGAAGAAGAGATGTGTAGCGTAATGTGATGGTGGTCTTATAAAGCCTCAACATGATTGTCTTGCAGACTTTAACCCATGAGATCGGACACATATTTGGACTGCGACACTGCCAGTGGCTGGCATGCCTAATGCAAGGCTCCAACCACTTGGAAGAAGCTGACCGGCGCCCTCTAAACCTTTGCCCTATCTGTTTGCGCAAGTTGCAGTGTGCTATTGGCTTCAGCATTGTAGAAAGATACAAAGTAAGTTGCGGGGTGGACAGTGTAAAGAGGGGGAAGTGGTTATCTGAGTAGCAAACTGATGTTTCTATTATATCCTTCTCTAGAGTTATAATTTATCAGAGGAAATTAGTGTAACGATAAGCAGGAAGCTGCGGTTTAAAAACATGCGAAGAAATGCCCTTCTTAAAAACTTCAGCTTGCCTTTGAGTGATTTATGCTTACAGTTCTATGAGAAATAGTAGAAGTTTCTCTGCTTCTCTTCCATTTAGGGCAAGAGAGTTTGACTTTGCAGAACAGAATAAATATTGATATGTGTGGCAAGTTCCATTTTTTTTTTTTTTTTTTTTGAAGACGGCGGTCTCTCTCTGTTGCCCAGTCTGGAGTGCGTTGGCCAATCTCGGTCATGCAAGCTCTGCTCCTGGCTTCCCGCCATTCTCTGCCTCAGCTCCGGTGCTGGGGTATACAGGCGGCCTGCCCCCACCTGGCTAATTTTTTTTGTTTTTGTTTAGTGGATGGGTTCCCGTGTTTAGCCAGGGATGATTCGTCGATCTCTGACCTGTGATCTGCGCGCTCGGTCAACGTGCTGGGATTTCGGGCGTGAGGCCACCACGCCGGGCCAGTTTCATTTTGTTTTTTTTTTTTTTTTTTGGCGGAGTTGCTTCTGTCGCCTAGGTGGCGGTGCAGGTGGGCCTGGATCTCTGCTCACTGCAGCTCGCTCCCCGGTTCCCCGCCGTTCTCTGCCCTCAGCCTCCGGTGCTGGGACACTGCGGCGCCGCACTCGGCCCGCCTAGTTTTTTTTGTATTTTTGTTAGGGTTAGAGACGGGGTTTCACGCGTGTTAGCCAGGATGGGTCCGTCTCCTGACCTCGTGATTCGGCCGTCTCAGCGCTCCAAAGTGCTGGGTTACGGCTTGGAGGGCCCCATGCGCCCGGCCCAAAGGTTTCATTTTTTACCCCACCCCCTATACGTGTGTTGGACAGATTCTTTATTCAATATGGGACAGAGGGTATGATGTTCATTAGGAGAAAAATGATTGTTTTCTTTAAAAGGAGAAGGAAGTACCTAATCTGAGTATGGTAGCTGGTTGTGCCCCACCATGCCGAATATAAACTCAATATACATTTATGGTGGCTATTCCGAATGGATGTGATGCGCATTCAAGGTGGGTGACAGAAATGATTTCAACGTTTTTCACATCATAATGGTCTATCCTGCCCGTTGTGGTACTTTTATATGTATATTACTGACAGTGTCAACACTTATTCATGAGCGGAGTAACGTGGTGGGCCTCCATGCCTTAATTTCCCTGCACTTGGGAGAGGCAGGTGTGGCGCTGATCACGATCGTGTCAGGAGAACTCTTTGATGACCTTCCTGGGGGGCTGGGCTCAACCGGGTGCAACCCCTGGTCTACTTTTACTAATACAATTACACAAAATTGCTGGGCGTTGGCTGGCGGGCCAAGGGCCCTGCCCTGTCCCAGCTACTCAGGGAGGCTGAGGCAGTGAGAGATGGCGAGTTGACCTGGGAGGGTGGAGCTTGCTAGTGAGGCCGAGATTCTACCATGCGCTCAGCTCAGGCCTGGGTGCCGACAGAGCAGGACTCCGTCTAAAAAAAAAAAAAAGCAAAAAACCAAAAAATTAATATAATGCCTTGTGGAATATTTAGCAAGTTGAGAAAAAATAACATCCTATCATGCTAGTAACAAAGTGTAAGAATGAGTGTATTTCTTTTTCATCTTTTTTCAATGCATACTTTTGACATCATTTGTAATTCTGTGTATATTTGGTATGCGCCATTTCACTCGGTATATCATAAGCATTATTTCATATTCACACCATCATTATCAAATGCAGCATCTTCGTGGGGTAAGATGTCACTCTATGATCTAGAGGCCAATGCTCTTCTCTTGCCTGATAGTATTTTGCTGTGGTTTGTTAAAATGCACATCTTTCCTGTTTTTCCAGGCACTGGTGAGGTGGATTGATGATGAATCTTCTGGCACACCTGGAGCAACTCCAGAACACAGTCGTGAGGGTAATGGGAATTTACCGAAACCCGTGGAAGCCTTTAAGGAATGGAAAGAGTGGATAATAAAATGCCTGGCTGTTCTCCAAAAATAAGGACCTTCAAATAGGAGTGATTGAAATAAATGACTACTTGCATGTTATGCTTTCATTTGGGTGGGATACTTCATCGGAATAAACTACTGATCTTGTGCTGTGTCAGAGTAACAGACTAGAACCTTCTTTCAGGTACCTGAATTGAAACTGAATAATAAAAACTCTAGAAACTCTTTATCTTCTTATCTTACTGGCCTGGTCTGTGGCAGCAAGCACTTTATTTCCATTCCCCAAATATGTTTATGTCTCCCAAGAAAGCTGGGACTGGTGGTAATGAGCAAGTAAATAACTTGAAAAAGAATGGTGGATATCCCAAGGAACCAACCAACATAATTTCCAGGGGGTGATTTTGTTTTTAGAAGAGCTGCTCCCCTCTGTTAGGCCCAGCCAAGTCACATTTTTGGACGTCTGTGGGCTCTGATCGTCACCACAGCCCTCCTCTTCCGAGAGACTTCCGTACTCTCTGGAGTGCATTACCTCTTTTTTTTCTCTTGCTGGTTGTCACCTTATCCCTGAAAGAATGAACAGCTTGTATCAGTTTTTAGCCGCTTAAAATATGACCTCTCAGGAATATTTGTAAGTGAAAATAACAATGGTCCTTACACTACCACAATATTTGGTGGTGGGAGTTCTGTTGCAGTTCTGAGCTATAACATAGTCATTTATTTATGAGGGATCTTACAAATAGTGTGTAATGGTATTTATATTTGTGAGTGTTGCACTTTTTCTATAGATTTAGAGCAACTTTCAGGTTTATTTCAGTAATAATGTCTTTCTCACCTTAACGTTGTGAAGTGTTTACTTGAGTCAGGGAGAGAGTTTAATGGGGTTATCTGTCGGGGTGCCATGAATGCTGATGAGGACCTGCAGAGCGTGAACGTCAGCCCCATTGCTATGGGGGTGGAGGTGGAAAACCTCAGACTTGACAAATCACCTCTGCTAGATAGATGTATCTTGGAAATCTAGAAATTACAGTGAATATGGAATGCGAGTGAGCAGACAGCATTTCCCACTTTCCTATCTTACCTTGAGGGTAAGACTTGAGATATATATATATAAAAATTTGAAACCTAGATTCTTCATTGTTTGATGTTTGCAGTATGATGTAAGGCACATTTTATATCTGAGTCAGTGGTTTCCCTTGGATTCATTCTCCTACTTGATTGAACCCATTTAAGTCATTTTAGAAAATGGTGATTTGCTATTAAAATTAACTGGAGAGAATACTGAATGCTGAATGAACAAAGTATTGAGCTAATAAAAAGAATTAATAATTTTCTACTGTCTAAATACCCTTAGAAATTAGTGAATTTGGAATGCTGTTCATTTTTGTCGTAGATCCTGATCCCAGTCACCTGTGGAGTTGGTATCTTTCCGGTCAAGAGGTTTTTCAGGCCTCAGACTTTTAATGGTGAGGGTTAAATAGAAGAATTTGGCGAGGATTACCCGTCCGTTCTTGTCTAGCTTGCTTTTTGAAACACACCCCTGATAAGAATAATTTACATTTCAAGCCCTAAGAGGGACAGAAGGACGCGTTACTCCCTCTTGGGAGCGTGAGTGCTAAAATCGAAGCGGGCAGCTGCGGGACCGCTATAGCCGGCCCTGCGCTCGGGCCCTTTCCGGGCAGGAAGCGCGTCGCTGTCCCCGGCTGCGCCCAGGCGGGTGCGGGCGCGCGGGCTCAGCAGCTGCGAACGGCTGGCGCACCGCCTGTTTCCACGCCCGGGGACTTCCCCCGGCGGGGCTCAGAAGTGTGGGGTGGGTCGCTTGGCCTCCCTTGGCGTCAGCGACCCAGGGTAACCTCCTCCACTGCCGCCCGCCGTGCAGGCCTGCCTGTGGGAGAGCCACGTGTGCCGCGCTCTGGGCATGGCCTTGGAAAGTCAGGACCGCCACGGCAGCAGAGCAGTGAGTGGAATCAACTTCCCAGTAGAGTATTTAAAAAGTGCTTCATTGAAGAGTTTGAATCTCAGTCACTTTCTAGATTCTGATATCTAGAGTAGCGCCGTCCAATAGAAATATAATACAAGCCACATATGTATGCTGAATTTTCTAGTAGTCGTATTAGCAAATGCATAAAGAAGCGAGTGGAGTTAATTTTAATAGTATATTCTATTTAATCCAATGCATCCAAAATATTATTTCAATCAATAGCAGTATCAATATCAATGCTGAATATTTTATATCCCCCCCCTTTTTTTTTTGTACCGTCTTCAAATTCCCGTGTGTATGTTACACTTACAGTACATCTTACTTTCAACTGGCCACATTTTCAAGTGCCCAACAGCCCCATGTGGCTTGTGGCTACTGTATTGGACGGTGCAGCTCTAGACCAGTACCCAACTCTAGTGTACCTGGAAAAATGTACCCATGATACTGAGTTGCTAGGAGAGGAAGGCTTATTTCAGGAAAAGGTCATGCAAGTCTTCTGTCGGTACAGCCAGTGCTGACATTCAAGCTGAAAGGGCATAGACACTGTAAAGGCCTCTGGCTTTGCTATTAACTTGTTTCTTTAAAAGCTTGATACTATTCTCCGTTGCAGCTTGTTTCTTACCCTCCCCCCTTCATTTTCAAGGGCCTGGTATTGTCTTCAAATGCATTTCCATTTTTGGAAAGCAGAGTCGTAAAGCATTAATAATGTGGAGATTGTTTAGTCCATTTCATGCATGAGGACGCAAGCCTGCAGCAGCCGAGTAAACTTGCTTGTTGTTTAACCAATGGCAAAAATGGGATCAGATCCCAAGTCTCCCTAATGTTGAGTCATTTATTGTTTTCACTGTGCTACATGACCTCATTGAAGTAAACTATCACCAGCCAGAACCTAACCATTTTCCCCCCAGATTGTTTACAAGGGGTTATACACGATTGAACTTTCAATTTCTTTTCTGTTCAAGTAGAGCCATCTGGGATCGCTCAAAGTTGGAGAAATCAGTCTATGTACTTCTGCCTTAGTGCCAAAAAAAGAGACGTGCAATATTTATTTATTTTTGAAATAGGGTCTTGCTCTGTTGCCCAGGCTGGAGTGCAGTGGCATGATCACGGCTCACTGGAGCCTCGACCTCCCGGGCTCAAGTGATCCCTCCACCTCAGCCTCTCAAGTAGCTGGGATTACAGGTGTGCACCACCATGCCCAGTGTATTTTTATTTTATTTTATTTTTTAGAGATGGGGTTTTTTTCCACATTGCCCAGGCTGGTCTGGAACTCCTGAGCTCAAGCAATCTGCCTGCCTTGGCCTCCCAAAGTGCTGGGATTACAGGTGTGAGCCACTGTGCCCGGCTGCCTGGCTAATTTTAAAATTCTTTGTAGAGATGGGGTTTTTTTCCACATTGCCCAGGCTGGTCTGGAACTCCTGAGCTCAAGCAATCTGCCTGCCTTGGCCTCCCAAAGTGCTGGGATTACTGATGTGAGCCACCATGCCCAGCCAATAGTTGCAATATTTAGTAAAGCTCTTGTGACTAGTTGAGGCATTAAAAGAAAGCATTATGGAAAAAAAAAAAAAGTCTACTGGAAAATAGTTAAAATCTATTGGGGCAATATGTTCAAACTCACAGACCTCCATACTTAACCCAGTATTGATTTCATCCCACTGTTTTCTTTAGTGTCGGCTCATGGATCAGTTTTTTCTTCTTTACAGCTGACCCACCTGTATAGTACACTACTACTGGGCAGTCTGAGACCCATCCAGCCTCGGACGCTGAACCGGTGGGTTCTGAGCACGATGCTTTCAGTGTCCTGTGGTTCTCCAGCTGTTTCATAGCAGCACAGACTCTCCTGAGCTGTAACTGTGAATAGATATCATTTTTTTCTCTTGTGTGACTAAAGGGGAAAAAAGTCTATAACTCATTCATTCATTCATGTATTTTTTCATTCAGCAATATTCATGGAGCACCGCCTACTGGGTGCCAGGCCCTGCTCAGAGCCTTGGGAATATAGCAGTGAACAAATAACTCCTACCCTAATACACTAGTGGATGAGACAGAGAGTCAAGGAATAAACAGATGCTTTATTTTATTTTATTTTATTTATTTTTTTGAGATAGAGTCTTGCCGTGTCACCCACACTGGAGTGCAGTGGTGTGATCTTGGCTCACTATATCCTCTGCCTCCTGGGCTCAAGTGGTCCTCCCACCTCCGCTTCCCAAGTAGCTGAGACTACAGGCACGTGCCACCACGCCTGGCTAATTTTTGTATCTTGTAGAGAGGGGTTTTACCATGTTGACCAGGCTAGTCTCAAACTCCTGGGCTCAAGCAATCTGCCCACCTTAGCCTCTCAAAGTGGATGCTGTTATAACCTAATGTCAAAGTAAACGGATAGAAACAAGTACCATTCTGAACAGCATAGACAGGAATGCCTCCTTAGGGAGGTGGCATTTGGAAGTGATCAAACTGAAGGGTCACATTGCATACACATCTCAGGGAAGGGAGTACCAAGCAAAGGGAACCACAAATGCTAAGACCTGAAGCTTGCAACAATAAGAACAATTCCAGAAACAGTAAGAGAGGCTGGGCGTGGTGGCTCACACCTGTAATCCCAGCACTTTGGGAGGCCGAAGTAGGTAGATCACCTGAGGTCAGGAGTTCGAGACCAGCCTGGTAAACATGGCGAAACCCCATCTCTACTAAAAATACAAAAA